TATATAGATATATGTCTATATAGATCACATCATGGGCAATGTCAGTCTGCAAGGGTAGGCATGCTTCGGTGTGCCGAATTGATGGTCTTTGCATTCAGTTTGCTGTACAGGTGTGATTGGGGATTAGTGTGCATGCGAGTTCACGTATTCACGTATCGCTGCAATAACAACGCCCCCAATTCCAAATACATTTCCAATCCCAGGCAATAACCCAAAACTGCGCTTCACACACACAACCATACACACACACACATATATATATGAACAAGTGGCTTACAAGTTTGGGCCAACAGCCATGACATAATTCAGTTAACTAAAGCCCATTTGGGTTGGCATTGGCACGGATTTGGTGCGGATACCACGTAAAGCTGCCCGCAATTGCCACCAAATTCCGGGCTCCGGGTCACAAGGAGCAAGGGCGAGCCAGAGTTGTCAACCAACTAATCGTAACTGGCAAATGGGTCTCCAGGGTTCCGAGGTTAATACATAAAATCACTAAACAAACTGAACAAAACTCTCGCCACACACTCACACACACACACACACACGCACAGAGACACACTCGGTTCCAGCTAATTGCCTTTATTAGTTAATTTCCTTTATGTCAACTACAAATCAGAGAGCACTCTCTCCTCGTGCTGTAATATATATATATATATATGTATATATATGTACATATATACAGTTAGTTGATTGTACCGTACAATGGGCCATATGGGGAATCATTTTCGTGCTATTAACCTGCATTTTTATTGTTATACCCCAAGCAAACAGCCGCATCCTGCTACTGGCAACTTCTCCTAGTCTGGTGTATAAGATCTTTTGTTTTGAGATGATTTTATGCGGAAGACTGCAAATCGGAAAACTGGATTTGTGTTGGCCCAATCTCAAGTAGCGCCTGTTGGACTGACTTTTATAATTTTTTTAAATATTTAAAATATATACATATAGTGATTATATGTATCATTCATTAAGTAAATATTATGATTCCATTAATATTATTTGCATTATATAATAATAATTATTAAAATTTAACATTCAATAAAGTAAATTGTATTACTTTTATAATTTCATTAGCATAATGATTATACAGTCGAGTCCCGCTAATTCCAAATGGCAATGCAATCAGTTTTTTTTTTACGAGTTACACAGATATTCAAATTATCGAGAATTATCGAGAACGAATTCTTTCAAGGGGATAGCATTTGTTTCGATTTATAGCGAATTTTAATTTAGCGGGGTACCAATTATCGAGACTCGACTGTAATAATTATTGGGTTCTTTTATTTTAATGCATTATGATAATTTTGATATTTTTTATCACTATTTTCAAGTTAATTCTTATTAGACTTATAATTAATTATATTATTAGGCGTACGCTGCCGCATCCAACTACATTTCCTCCGAAATTACCATTTTATTTAAGTGCGAATTATGGACAAACTGATGTATAGTATATAAGTAATATACAATAGAAAAGCTGCTTGAAGAGGAGTCTCTGATTACGGTAAAAAGGTTTTGCAGCAGCACGGATGAGCAAATACAAAAAGCTAAGAATTTTCCTTTCAATAATAATTCTGTTATTATTGTCATTATCAATATGCATTGTGATTATTATTGTGTCTGGGATGCTATTACTCATCTATATTATTTTTATTATCATTGTCATTAGTACTTAGTCGGTTGGAGATGAGCAAAGACATTTCTAATTGATGTTGATGTTATTCGTCGCCTGTTGTCATTGCTGATATCATTATGAAAACTATTAGCGATATCGTTATCACTATGAACATCATTATTATTATTGGGTGTTCTTTAAGTTTTATTTTACTTGATATTATTCATTTGTTAACATTGCTATCATGACAAAAAATACAAAAAATCATTATAATCATTAATATCAGTAGTTTTGTTATTATTGTTCATCTCTTATCATTGCTGCGATGATTATGAAAATTATTATCTATATCATTATTAATAGTATTATTAATTTACTTGACATTGTTCATCTTTTATTATTACATTACCATTATTATAATTATTGTTATTATTATTTTCATTATTTTACTTGAATTTGATCATATTTTATGATTGTTGTATCATTATAATAACTATTATCATTATGAGTGTCATTATTAGTATTGTTTTTATTAATTTACTTCATATTATTCATCTGTTATCACTGCTGTCATCGGTATGAACATTATTATTGACATCATTATCATTGACAGCATTATTGTTATTATTTAATGAATATTATTATTGTTTCAATATATTAATATTTTACATATTATACATTAGGCCCCACATCCAGAGGTTATCCTTTGCCATATTCCTTAAAGCCTTAATATTGAGGCTGGCATTTTCATTGACTTAAGTATTTAAATAAATTTAATATTTATTATATTTTATATTTATACTTTTCATTGCCTGGAGTATTTAATATTTATTATATTTGATATATTTATTTTTGCCTAATTTGACCTTTGTTTGCCTCAGGGCTTTGTTCAATTTGCCCACTCGGCTTAGAGTACGCCCTCTCAGTGAACCGAACTGTATCTTATTAGTGAATTGTCATTGATGCGTAAATAGTCTTATCTCTTATTAGCAGCCTATGCATGCGAAAGCCTATTTATAGCTAGCCGGAGTTTGCTGTAATCCTGACAGGGCCCGTTGCTAAATCAACAGTTGCATTCATGTTTGAATAGCCTTGAAATATGGTTTCGTTTATCGAGTCATACAAATGAAATCCCATTAGACTTAATGAGAGCTAATGCCGCTCCAATTTATGGGGCGCCCATCATTGTTATTATGACTATGAGCATTATTATTGTGCACTCGATGGTCGATGGCCTCGATTGACCTGTCGGGCTTAACTCAATATGCACTTTCTTATCACACACAATCCGGCTAATGCAGTCACTCTTAACTTGTTTAATTTGCCATTAGCAACGACCCCAGCCCAAACAGGCCAAAAAGCCCCAGAGCACAGGCAGTGACAACAAAATGGCTGCTAATTGCTGTTGACTCAACCACTTGATAACAGATTCATTCACAGCTGATGGCCCCTCGATTGTGCCACACGACCCGCCCGACCCCACACATATATTTTGTATTATTTATATATGTACAAATAATTGTTTTTTCAATGGCAAATACGAGTTGAATGCGTGGCAAAAAAATCAAAAGTGGTGAGGGAAACTTAAAAAAATAATAATAAAAAAGAAGACAATGTTTATGCATGTAAATAGTTGTACAAATATGTAAGTGTCTGTATGTGTGTGTGTGTGTGTGTGCTTGTGTCAATATATCAATACGCGGCATCAACTGCGAGTATCAATAAAAATGATAAATCAAAAGCAGCTGCGAAGCCCAACAAAGTATGCTACGCTTTTATTGTTAGCTTTGTATTTTCGTTTGTGTTTTTGCTTTTCTTTTTACTGTTAGCAATCAATTATGCGCTTACTGTGTGAGTTTATGGAGAGTGTGTGTGTGTGTGTGTAAGTGTGAATGATTGTGTACACTGCCTGAATTTTAACAGCAGCTCCTATATACGTATGTATGATCATGTGTGTCGAATCGCAATTCAATTAGATTTTTTTTTTTTTTATTACACGCATTTTTCTTTGAACACTTCGCTTCGAGCAGCGCGCGTAATACCCCTGATTTGATTTAAATTTGTATGCCCATGCAGGGCATACGCTATGATAGTTTAGGGCCATCAAAATGATGGGCCGCTTCACGTCTTCATCTGCTTGATCAGCACAAAGAGAGCGAGAGAGAGAGAGAGAAGACTTTCCCGCTGAATGATGCTTGAAAGCAAAACTTTGATGTATATATGTATATATACATATATATACATATACATTAATGTCTGTTTCTGACTCTCATGCAGCACAACTTTGAGGTGCCGCGCAGGTCTTCTGCCTTTGGCCAGGGTATCTCGAGTGCGGCATACTTAAGTTTTTTTGTTTTTGTTTTTTGGCTCTGCTGCTTTCAATTTGTTATTGTTGGCTGTCGTTGTTATTATTTGTGAAGCTTTTAACTTGTCACTTTACACGAGTAACAATTTATACACATGTACGTGTGGGCTGTGAGCGTGTCTGAGTGTTGTTCTGTGTGTGTGCGTGTGCGTGTGCGTGTGTGTGTGTATGTGTGACTGTGAGTGACTGTGAGTGAGTGAGCGTGGCATTAACTTACCGCTGACTGGGACTCTTGCTATCCGATGAGTGCGCCGCACTGTTATTGTCATCATCGTTGGCCAATTTGGCAGCAGCAGCTGCTGCCGCTGCTGCTGCGCTGCCGCTGCTCTTGTGATGGCGCTTGTGATGGGTGCCATCCGCTGGGGCATTGCTGCTACCGCCACCGCCACCGCCTCCGCCTCCGCCGCCTCCTCCGCCGGAGCTGCTCGTGCCCGTGGGACTGATGACGTCCGTGTCGCTATTGCAATCGAATCTGGCCATATCCTTTGCAAACTTGCCGCCATGCTCGTGCGTCTCCATCTGAGCGAAAAATAATTACAACTAATTAAAATCGAGGCCGTGGATAATGCAAACAATTTGTCTTCAATTCACTTCCTCAAGGGCTCGTTTAGGCCACTTCCAATGCGTTAACTATGCGCACATTAAATAATCATACTTTAGGCATCCCAAACCAATGCCCAGTCCCCAACCCCTGCTCCAACCCCTGCCCATGGCCGTGCCTCGTTCTGACACTGGCGCATAATTAAAATTAAATTTTGATTACTCCAGGCACACAGGCGAAGGTATTAAAAACTTTTACATCAAATAACGAGCCGAGAATCCAGTTGAAAACAGACCGAAGCGAAGCGACAAAGGGAAACCAGAGTGAAAAGCGTTGGCCAGGTGACCCTCGTGAGCCCGGTTAGCCAGGTGAGCCAGGCGAGCCAGGTGAGCCAGGTGGGTCAGGTGAGCCAGCTAAGGCAAACTTAAAGCAAGTCTCGAGTTGCCTGGAATTTTACTGCAGCGCTCTGTTGCCCATGGTTATAGCCAATCAAATGGCATTCGAAAACTTTTAGATTGCGTTGCAAAAATACATTAAATTACTTATATATACAATAGATATGGATTAAAAGGGTAAGAGGGGGAGAGAGGGAGCGGGAGGGCTAAATACTAAAAATAATATATTATTAGCTCTCCTTTCACTTAACAATCTCCAATTGCCTAAGCTGCGAACGATGCGTACAAAAATTCCCTTAATTAGCTAAAAATGTTGCAGTAGAGTTCAACCGACTGCACAATACTCGTGCAAGGATACATATGTATATCGCTAAAATAGGACGTACAGTATGAGAGCAGCAGCTTCTATCGATTCTCTAGGAGTATCAAATTAATGTAGGTATATTTTTTAAGCTACATATAGAATTCAAATCTTATTCATATTGATATATTCTTCGTTATACAATCCGGTTAAAGCGACAAAGCTAAGCTACGTCGTACTAGCCGTATATATAACATATAATATATACGGCTATTACGACGAAAAATCTGGTCCCTAGGCAAACTTATATGGTTATAGAGTCTTCCAGCTATAACGACGGTCCTTTAGCGTTGCTAGATATGTATGTATACATATATTTTTTATTCTATTCAATTCAAGATCCCCAGCCTCAAATGTTTCGTGCATTGCATTTTCGTTAAATTTATACGCATCTTTAATTCCTTATATACAGCTAATTGCAATCGAATTTATGTGCAAATTATAAGAAGAAGAATAAGAAAAGCAAATAAGAAACGATTTAAAATATATATCAAAATTATATGATTCAAGCAACAGACAAGAGAATGCTGAAAATTTATCTTAAAATATGATAATAAGAAGAAAGCTGAAAAAATATCTCAAACTATTGTAAGAAGAACAATGTGGAAATAAGTTCTCTGTGGAATTCCCTTAAAACAAACATATGAAGGAGACTCCAATCCCATAAATACATGTGATAAATATACAATAATTTAGTACTGCTCGACTCTTCAAGTCCCATATGTTCACAGAAAACTGTATTTTTATTTGATACTCTTTAAACTAGCGAAGAGTCGCCACATTTCCTTCACTAACTAAGAGAAAAGATACCGATTCCACATGATCCTAAAGTAGAGTAGAGAAGCAGCCCAGTAGTACAGTAGTACAGTAGTAGTACAGTTAATATAGTCAATTAATTCTGAACAACCTCTCTTGAGTACATCTCAATTTCACTTGTTCCTAAAAGAATTATTTGACATTCCATCAAGCGAAAATTCACGTTCTACAAACAAGGACAAAAACTAGTCCTAGTAGCACCAATAACAGTCTAGATTTGCTTCAGACAAGATCGTAATCTCCTTGGCAGTATTCACTGTGGCATGTTTCATTTCAGTGAGTCCTCTCTTAATAGCTTCAATAACAAGATCGTAATCGCCTAGGCGACAGCACAACATTCGCTGGGAAAAGTTATATTACAGTAAAATCTCGCTTAATGACAGCAATAACAGATTCCAGTTGTTCCAGACAAAAGCCCATACAGTTGTCAATTGAGAAAGTTTCCTTTCAGTTYCAAATGTTCCTGCAATAACTCTCACTCTACGCAGCGCATTAGGAAACACATTTATCAAAACATTCCGCAAAACATTTTAATAAACTTTTCCTGTGGCGAGAGACCGAGAGGCCGAGAGACCGGGAGGCGAAACTAGTTGTCTGCCTAATTGCCAAGCCGATGAAATGCAGCGACGGAGATGTTCTACATGGTAAATTATAAATGGCGAAATTGTGAAATTGTGAAATTGTGCGCTCTTTAATGGGAGCATGGCCGCATAACATATCCAGCATGGGAATTGGATTTGGTCCGGCCAATTAGCTGGCAACGCAAATCTTCGCTCTGCGGCCTAAGCTCCACTTGTGAGTGCCGCCCGGAGGCGGAGAAGGCGCGGCGCCAACATGTTGGCGGTGGAGAGTCGGGAACTGTTTCGGGACTGGGCAATTAAATATGCCGCAGAGCTTGATTGAAATTCGTTGTGGCTTTTGGCTTTGGGGCAGCTTTAAAGTGTGCACAGCGTCAATTCCATAAATATTTATGGCCTCAAGTTTCGAGTGTTTAAAAACTAAACTCTCTGTCTCACTCTCACTCGCTCTGCCCCACTCACTCTCTGTATCTCGCTTGATACTGATTTAATTATGCGAGGAGATGCTCGAAACTGTCATATACCACAGGGATTACGAGTAATATCCGTCAATATCCTGTATCATAAACCAGAAACAAAAAAACAAAAAACAAAAAAAATACAAAAAAATGAGAAACGAACTCGCATCATAGCATCATGGATGGCCTCGCTGCCTGTCAGCGATTCGTAAACATTTTTATTAAACGAAACCCCAATTCCCCAACAATGTAGCCTACAATAGAAATCAATCAATATAAATGCTACGAATGGCAAATACCCTATCAAATGGCTGTAGAGAAACGAGGTCAGCACCCGAAAGATATGCAAAAGATAAATTAAGTAGAGAAGCAAAAGTGAGGTTAGAAAAAGATAAGTCTAAACTTCTTTGAACGAAGCGAACTGAGAGGTAAACAGAGAAAGCGAAAGCCAAAATAATGTGAGAAGCAGAAAATCGTGTCAAATGGACAACAAAGTTAATTACGCGACGACCACCAAAACGAGATAGAAGCAACCTGTGCCGAGACAATTAAGAAGTTCACAGCGTTACTGAGAGAAAGAAGCCTTGAGAAAGGGAAATCTAAGACAACGGGCAAAAATTCAACAAAGTTGTTGAACCAGCAGCAAAGCTAAACAACGTCAACAAAAGGCCAAGGCCAACAAAACTTTGCCTAGAAGTGCAAACAAAGTTTAGGCTTCACTTTCTCAACTGAACTTGAGAGCTGAACTGAACTGAACTGCAGCAGGAGCAGCAGCAGGAGCAGCAGCACAACAAGCATTCAAATTCTGATGAAACCAATAAACAATTTCTGTTTGTGTCTATTTGCACATTTTTCGGGCAAATATTTAACTCGCTAACCCAGTGGCAATCCGGTAAGCAGACAAAAGAGCTTCCAAGGCCCACATAAATCCCTAATACTGTCGAAAACTAGACGCGCAATCAGCGCTCACTTGGCAACTCCTCTACTCCACACACACACGCACACAGATGAACACACAGATGAACACACAATAGACCTATAAAGAGAAGAGAGACAGCAGCCACGCCTCGCCCACAGTCAGTCAATGACAGGCCCACAAAAAATGTACATTAAATAAAATTATGGACCACAAAAATTTGTATGCTTTCATTTTATATTATGGCACGCATCAATTGAGAGACGAGACCAAAGAAAGGATGGGCATATGCGACGACCGTAAATTTATGTGACAGGCAAATTCGGATAATAATGAAGAGACTGAGAGAGACTATGAGGAGTGGAAGAGCATATAGTGGGCGTGGTAGTGCACTGAACGATTCTCTTCTATGAAGCAGAGAGCTAGAAATCGATAGCCGTATCAAATTGTCAAAAACTTTTCATAGAATTTCTTGAATTTGCATAGCAATAATTTGAGTTACACAATTTGAATACTCCTGCATATAACAAGATATACATTAGCGAATTTTGTGGTTTTTAGTGGTACTCTAGTACTTTAAATACGTTTTTTACAACTGGGGGGCGAAGGGTACGTGTAATCCAAAAAAAATAAGTCAAGAACGCCTAAAAAACTAAATCAATTTATCGATAATTCTCGATAAATATAAATGGTATGTGTATCGACAGAAAAATATGAAAAGTACTAAGATTTTTTTACACGGATACACATGTAAAATTTTAGTCTCTAGTATTTTTAGCTTCGGAGATCTCTGCGATCATATGAACCGTCGGACGGACAGACGAACAGATGGATGAACGAGCGGACACACGGACGATGGACAGACGAGCAGACTTACAGGTGGAAAGACAGACGAATGAAAGAACGAACCGACGGACGGACAGGTGGAAGGACAGACGAACGGACGGACAGGACGATGGACAGCCGAACAAACGGACAGTTGCAAGGACGGACGAACAGACGGACAGGTGGAAGGACAGACGAACGGAAGGACAGGACGATGGACAGCCGAACAAACGGACAGGTGGAAGGACAGACGAGCAGACGGACAGGTGGAAGGACAGACGAACGGAAGGACAAGCGGAGAACAGGCGGACGGAAGGACAGGCGGAAGGACATCAAAACGTACGGACAGAAGGACGCACGGGCAGAATAACGGACGGACGGACAGATGGACCGAGCTAAATCATCTTAGCTTGTGGCCCCGATCAAGAATCTATATACTTTATGGGGTCTACCCGGACTACTTCTGCATGTTACATACATGTCACAAAAGCAGGGTATAAATATCCAATTGCTGACTCCAGGATATCTTCTAGTCACCCATTTGTTCAAGTCATTGACTCTACTTCTAGAGTCTATGGAACATTTTATTTTATGATCCAGCCAAGGCTTTTTAATTATAATAATTCATTAAATACTGGATATCTGCAAGTCGTTGTTGCCTCGCGCACCTCCCGCCCTTCGCGTTTTAAGTAAAGCTCATGTGGTTGTCTTTAATTTTTGATGGTCTTGTTTGTGCTCATGTGCTTACCGTATAGAGGCCCGTTGCAGTGGCCGCCGCTGCTGCCGACGATGAGGAGGAGGATGCTGCGGCGGCTCCAGTGCTGCCGTAATTGAGCTGCGAGTGATAGCCGCTGGAGAGGATCTTCTTGTGTGCGGATGCATGCGCCCGATACGCGCTGACGCTCAGTTTCATTGTCACATTAACTCAATTGGCAACGGCCGTAAGCACCACCGTGCACCACCTTGCACCACTGTGCACCAACGGGCGTCGTCCACCTGCACCACCTTCTGACACAAAGTTAGGCTGCTTAGCTGCTGCTGCTGTTGCTGGGCGTCAATGTGGGTGTGGGCGTGTTGGTGGGCTTAGGCGTTAGCGTGGACTCCGGCGTGGGCGTGGACGTGGACGTGGGCGTGGGAAGCTGTCGCTTTCAACTTGCGTGTGTTTTGTGGCGTCTGCCTTGAATTGGGCTTAATTGAGTGCCCAAAGGCGTTGGATGGCTGACAACAACAACAACAACACGGTTGACACCACTGCCACACACACACACACAGAGAAAGAGAGAGAGATAGAGGGAGAGCGAGACAGTTGGGTGTTGCGGCCGTTGAATGACAATAAGAAAAACAATGCGCACTTTTTTGTTGCTTTTSCTTTTGCTTTTTGTTTTGTTTTTATTATTTATATATATATTTTTTGTTGTTATCGCCGCTTTGTGTTCCGTTTGTCGCTTCTGAAGATGGAGACGCAGCCACGCGCTTGGTGTGTTTAGGGCAGGGGGCGTGGCAACGCAACGTGTATGCTATGTTTGCTTGTGTGTTGTTTGCTCTGTTCAGCTGCTGTTCAGTTTTTAGTTGACTATAAAAGTTGCTGGCATTGTTGTTGCTGTTGTTGTTGTTTGGCTATTACCGTTGACTGTGTGGCATGGGCGTGTCTCGTACGTATGCTGCCTTTTTTGGTTTCGAGCCGGGCCGGTGCTGCTGGCTATCTATCCTTCGTTGTGCTTGTTTTGTTTTTGTTTTATTTATTTTTTTTTAATTGTTTGCAATTTGGGTTTTTTAGTGCTCTACAGTTGCGTCTGGTTGTTGCTGTTGTTGTTGTTGTTGCGGTTGCTGCTCCTGCTGATGCTGCTGCTCCTGCTGCTGCTGTTGTTGTTGTTGTTCTTGTTAAGGCCTCATGTCACTTTAGTTACAAGTAGCTGCTGCTCTTTGTTGCTGTTGCTGGTGTTGCTGTTGTTGTTGTTGTTGTTGTTGTTGCTGCTGTTGTCGTCGTTGGCGTCGCCTGTGGCAAAAAGCGTTTACAAATGATTAAATTAAAGCTGATATTAATTTAGATGGTCAACATTAAAGTTTGTCTTGTTCTTAATTACATAACACTCAGGCCAACAACACACACACACACACACACAGAGAGGGAGAGAGCCAGACACGCACAAGCGCACAAGAAGTCAGACACACACACACACACACACACACAGACGTAGATCTTAATTATGCTTAAATATTGCCCAACGGCATGAATATTATAGCTTAGACACAGACACAAACACAAACACAAGCACACACACACACACACGCATGTGCAATTTGCCTCAATTAAAGAATGCCCCAAGGTGTGAATATCGAAGGGTGCTCAGCGTAGCATCAGCTTTGAGTCATTATCTCAAGACACATATACATATGTCTGTGTGTGTGTGTGTGTGTCTGTGCTTGTGGACAGCTCATAAACTGCTGTGGCAAGTCTAATTAATGCGCAATTGAACTAACCTCCACGCAGGCAGAGCGAATGCGAATAAGCGCTTAATTATTGACTGCATTTGATTGATGTCATTAATCAATCAAACATCAATTTAATTATATAATAGAAATACCACATTAAACCTTAATTACGCTCATTTTAGGGCTATTTAGCGCTACTCGTTTTATTTTCTGATGCCCATCAGCAAATCGAATTATCAGTATTAATGAACACATTGCATCGCATCAATCAGAATGAGTATACTATATGTGTAATGAAGATAATGACAACAATCTATCAATTAAATGACATTTAATTACTTCTCACACTGATATCTACTACTAACGATTGGCAGAATCTGCTGTGATAGTATACTAAGGCACTGCCATCAATCAGCAGTGAGAAACATTGATTTTCAATCAATACATCATGCATAATGTATATATTCTTCCCTGAGTAGTGGCAAACTAAGAGTTACTATGTACCTAATCAAAGTCAAAATTATGTATTATATCTATCAAGCAATCCAGCAGTCAATCAACCAGTCAATCAATCAATTAGTCATCAATCAGTTGCTTTTTTTATAAGCTATAGAACATTTAACGTTAATTGTCAAATTTTACACTGTTAATGAGATAAACCATGTCTCGATACAAATTATTCTCAATCAATACATCATGCATGATGCTTATAAAAATTTATATTTCCTGACTAGCTACAAACTAAGAGCTACTATGATCCAAAAACAAAGTCAAAGTTATGTAATACATCTATGAAACAATTCAGCAATTAATCAATCAATCAGTCGATCAATCAATCAATTAGTCATCAATCACTTGCATTTGTTAAAATAAACCAGACAGCATTTAGCATATTTTATCTATTCTGAAGCTGTTAAAAATCTGTCAAGCTAAACAAAAAGCTTCAATCAAAATATACTCAATCAACTCTGAACTAAAGCCATGTGATAAGAAATTCGCTATGATATATCAATCAACTAATCAATCTTTCGCCCCTGACCTACTTTTATAAACAGAGACTCGCTTAGTGGAACAATTGTCCAGCTCTCAATAAGCTAATCAATGAGCTTCAATCAAAGTGTCACCCAATCAGAGAACTCTTACAATCAAACGGCCAACAATCATAGTGCAAGCGAGGCTAGCTAATTCCCATAAGTAAACATTTGGCTCGGACAATCGCTGGCTAATCATTCAGCAGGCGCACAAAGGGCAGCACAGTTTACAATCGAAGTAAATGCTCGATTGCTTACCAATGCGATTAGCATGGAAAACAATCAGCTTTTCATTTTCAATCGGAAGCAGAGCTGTTGAAACAATGCGCTGCGTAAAGAGATAAGGCACAAGGGACTCGGATCTCGATTTGGATTGAAACTGAGACAGAGACAGAGGCAGGGACAGGGATGGGGTTTGGAATGAGAATGGGGACTGTGGACTGGGGACAGAGTTGTGAATGTGGACTGCACGAGTGTAGCCACATTCATAACATGGCTTTCATTTTATGTCTAACATTTCGCATTTGTTAAGCAGACATCTCCAGATTTATTACGGTTGCGCATACGCCAGATGTAACCAAAGGAGCTGCCAGCATTCTCGTAGACCCTCAAAAGAACAAATACCCCCAGCAAGAGAGAAGAAAAAACCAACATTGTATTCAAATAAAAGTAAGGCGAATGCCGTCGGGCAGCTGGCTGTAAACATGTCACGGCGACTGCAGATAACAATCTGATCTTGGCCATTATAATTTGGTGCCGCATTTGATTTATGCGTGCAGCCAGGTAAGTCAGGTAAAGGCTTAACAAGCTGAGCATAAAACTCTTGCAATTACATAAAACAAAATCCATTACGTAAAACTCGACATTCAATAAAACCCGAAATCAAATAAGCTGAAACCCCATCTGTTGGCTTTCATGCGACATATATATATATATGTATGTATTGAGTATATATGTACACTTGTATATATAAACGAGCTCATCTCTTGCGCATAAAATCTAATTATAAAGCATTGAAATATTCAATGTGGGCCAAACAGGACTTAACACTTTGTGCCGGAACGCTTAAACGGCTTAGTCCTGGTTGCCCAGCCGGTGGCAGCAACTTTTATGACCTACGCCCCAGCACTGGCCCCCACTGGCGCGATATTTTATGTGTGCATAGAAGGTAGCTGTGCCAGAGCTCGTAGAAACACATAAACTTCTATACATACATATGCAAAGCTGCAGCCAGTTCAGTTGAGGGCTCTTCCCAGGTGACATAGTCTATGGCTAAGAGGTAGACAGGGCTTTCATTCTGTGTCCATTCAGTGCTGCTTTATACATGCAGCATATAGAGATTCGCTAAGCTGTATCTCTCAACTTCATATATATGTATATATATTTCATACATACATATGTATATCTTCATCAGACTGTGCCAAAATGGCAGCAAGAAACATGCTTGAATCTCAGGTGACATGGTCTATGGCAACCAGGTAACAGTTTGCATTCAAAACTGATTTACATGGAACATTGCATCTGAGCTTTATCCCTAGACATCTATGCATATACACATATACATTTATGTTTGTCTCCATGCTAAACATGCAGCAAGTTCGTAGAAGAACTGTCAAGTCAGGTGACATAGTCTACGGCCAACAGGTAGAGCAAAGCACCAAGGTTTTCTCTCTGAACTTTTCTATCTCTCTCTCTCTCTCTCTGTCTCTCTACATGTGTATATACAAATATATCAAGTGTCTTAGAAATGCAGCAAGCTCAGAGAAGCAATCCTATATCTCAGGTGACTGTCTATGGCCAACAGGTAGAAACTGATTTCATGGAGCGTTGCAGCTAAGCTTTATCTCTGAATTGCTCTACCTCTGTTTGTGCAGAGTTGTACATATTCGTACCATCTGGCAGCCCTATATCTTTTGATAAAGATGGACACAATACGCCGCACTGGCTCTATGGGGTCATTCGAGAGATGCCATATTCAAGAAGTGATCCCAACATACCTACTCGAGCCTAATAAAATGATTATCAACGGCAACATACAAAATTATTATTTCTTCGTCCAATATGGGTAACCTTGTAGGGCTGCCAGATAGCTCTAGCGTATATGGGCAGCTCTGTATATATTCACATTCATATGTGTCTAAGAGTCTATGTCTAAAATGCCGCAAATTGCATTTGCATTCTCAAATCTCAGGTGCCATAGTCTATGGCTAACAGGTAGACAATACATCCATCACTTCAATGCTGCTTTATATTGAACACTGCATCTGGGCTTTATCTACGACTGCTGCAATATGGCAACCAAGGGCATTCAATCTTCAACTTCTGCTGCTACTGCTGCGGCTGCGGCTGCGGCTGAAGTTTTTCTTTACATTTCTTTACATTATTCTCCTCTTTTTGTGTATAAAACCCATTGAAGCAGCCAAGCAGTGGAAGATAAACAGTCAGCCAGGAGCAGCAGCAGCAGCAGCAGCAGCAGCAACATCAACAGCAGCATCAGTTCAATTTCTGCTCCTCATGATTTCAATTTCAAAATTTACGCTTCATTGGTCAGTAAAAAGAAAGCGTTCTAAATGCTAAGCCAGCTGCCGTTGCGTGGCCACAAAATGTGACATTAAAAAATGTTAACCACTTGTCAAAGTCAATCGGGAAGCCAGCCCAGCCCAGCCCAGCYTAGCCCAGCCCTGCCAATCCCTACGCTCCCCCTGGCTTATCGGTGCCACCCACACACTTGTGTAACCCGACTACAGACAGCCTCATGCTCTTGTGTAATAAATGAAAAATCTTATCATCATCGCATATTGGCAGTCGCGGCAGGTCAAAGATGGAGCCGCAGCGAGGAAGTAAATGCCGGCACACGCGGCGTATGCGCAATTCCCCGAACGACACTCGCCGAGATTGCGGTTAATTAGAGGCGGCCCACGCCCACAGCATTGTGCCAGACGTTGCTAATCGTCCTCATCAACTGACCAACAAGACCACAGAATCATCGTCCGCCTCCAATGCCACATAACAAACCCTCCTACCCCCTCCCTCCTCATCACCCTCCCACGCGGTCGTCGCACTTCTCGCGCACAAGACACCCCAGCGAGCAGAGGACAGTTACTTTTGCACGACTAATAAGTCCCCCTCTGGCTCTTGCTCAGAGTTTACAAATTATGTTTAACATCAAATGAAATCGTCTCATCAAAATTTAATCCACGCCACATTCCACAGCAGCGGCCTGAAGTGCGCCCCGCGGTTGCCTCTGCGGGCGAGTCGAGCGATTTCCTTGCGAATTGTCGCAGTCAACTCGATTTTCTCCCTCCCTCGCCCTCGTCCTCTCCTTCTCCTTTTATTATTTTAATTTAAGTTTTGCAACTGAAGCGATTTGGATGCCTTTTTTTCAACGAAAAATTAAGACATAACCCTTGATTTTAATGAATTATTATTTTTATATAATATGCAATGAAAATATTGAAACTTGTTTTTAATAGCCGTGCATCT